TATTATTGTTATTTTTAATTTGTACAAATAACCTCCCTGTTGTTCGACCCCGGTCTTGCCGGGTTATTTATTACTTCGACACTCCTGCACTTGGGAGAAGACATCAACCTTTTAGTCGTGTCACCTGACCTATTTCAAGGATCTCAATTACAATGTTTCATATTCTAAAATGTTGACATGACACCTACCATTGAAGAATGTAGTTTGTTGATTGAATTGCCCGAAGATGCCTTTAAAGTGTACTTTCACTAGAGAAATGATGACACCATGGATGAGCTTGTCAAACTGTTGGGAATCCCTTAGCTAATCCCATATAGAGAGAAAGATAACTCTAGGAGTCTTAGATGGAAATGACTAGAGGAATTGTTGATTGCTAAAAAGGCCAATCCTAGTGCTAAAATAGAGAAATATAAAATATTGGCTTTGGGAGTATTTGGTTTAGTTCTATGTCCCTCTACTATGGGAATTATCAGTTTAGAGGCCGCTTATTTGTTTGCGGAGTATGAAAAGACAAAGATCAACCCGTGTGCTACAATTTTAGCCAAAATCTTCCTATCTTTTAATCATTACAAGAAAATAGGTAAAATTTCTATGAGATGCTATGTCTCATTATTATTCATTGATTAGCAAGCCATATAGAAATAGAGATGCCAATATTAAAAAAATTTTGGTGGTTCGATCAAAAGCCACTCAAGTTGTTTGTGTCAGAGGAGTAGGAGAGTTTTTTTGAAAATGACTGAAAGGTAAAATTACAAAGACTTCTATTAAGCATTTTTAATTAGAGAGCTCTGTGGATGAGGAATATGGCAAGTTTAATGAGTTGTGAGGAAAAGCTTTGGGTACCATTAATTGGAGTAATGGGATATATCAGTTACGCACTTGCCTTAGTTGCAAGGTAGCATGGGAACATACAAAGTGTCCCTAGGATGGTTGACATAACTCTATTTACCGGGGTATATAAAAGGACCACCATAGAGATGCTAGAAAATATTAAGCAGGATTGAAAATATTTGTTAATGATACAAAAATGAGAATGGATCAAGGAACCCTAAGGTTAGCAAAAAATATCCCAAATGGCGTAATAGAGGAGTTACCGATATAATAGAGGTTTCTGAGTCCGCGAGCATTCAAAGAAAGAGGGAAAGTTGTGAAGAGGAATTGAGAGAGCAAGTAAAACTATTGTAAACTGAACTTAAATCAAAGGAGGGGTTAAGAAAGTCCCTAGAGCATCAGTTAATTGAGGAAAAGAATATGAGAAAGTTGGCAAAGGAAGAAAGAGACTCAGTGGGCCAAGATTAGAGGAAATCCATGGATGATTTGGAATCACTAAAAGCCATCAATAAGGATAAGACGCTTTAGGTAGAAAAGGCTCAGCATTGGGAGGATCTAGCCGTCAAAACCCAAGCTGTAGCAAGAAAGCATTTGGCAGATATAAAAGAACTCAAGAGACAACTAAATGAGGCTGAAATGGAGTTAGGAAAGACCAGGATGACAATCAAGGCCACCTAGAATTTAAGGCTTGAACTCGATGGTAGTAAAGTTGAGGTAAAAGCATTAAGGACCAAGTTGGTTAAAGAAAAAGTGAAGACTGAACAACTACTAGAAAAATAGAAAATGATGGAGAATCATAATCAAACATTAGATACTACTAATAATTCACTCTTCACAAACAACTTGATCCATGTTGAAAGGATAAGGGAATTACAAGAGCAAATTGATCGAGCTGCAGCTGAACCTATTGGTTAAGAGTTAAAGCTCGTTAAGTCGGGGGAGACATCGCGAGGTATCAAAGAAGTATGGATAATAGTGATATGTTTCTAAAAGCTATAGCTAATAGAGGCAGTGCCTTTACTCCTGTAATAGATTAGAACAATCATCGTTTGTAATGAAATTTTGACGAGTTAAATAAAAAGGGCCAAGACCCCTATTTTTTATTCACAATGTGTGTATACAAGGCTGAAAGCTTAAATGGCAAAAAGCTCAACAGATCTCCTCTCGGCATTTCAATACATATTGGATTCGGATCTGACCACACGTCTAAAGAATAAAAATTATTATATCACCTTTCCAAAAAGCAAATCCATAACCAATATGTCGCATTCATCTTCATGCATGTTTGAATATACACTCATAAACTGCCATAATACTAGACGCCAGGTGAAATATAGGTCCCCCATTAAAACATACCCATAACACATGGTTGCAAAAGAAAATAAAAAACGAGGAAAGAGATTAGTTGGAGGCCCAACATTAAAAAGAGTCAGAGAGTCTGAAGGAAGATGTCACTAGGCTTACTAGCATACTTGAATAGGCTTTAAGATCTAAATCAGGAGAAGGAACATCCACCCAACCAGCTTTCATAGCCTAGATCCCGTCGATGCCTGCGACTCTTTTCAATCCACCAAATTTAGGGACAAGTAGAATCTCGTCTGAGTCTAATATGTTACGCATTTCCCAGCTCAGCTAGTATACCCAATAATGATCCCTTATACTATTGAGCCAACCTTGGCAGAGTCTCACCATGATAAAATGGTAAAAGATGATGGTCTAGAGAAGTGGGTTGCCCTAGAAGAGAGGGTAAGGGCAATTAAAGGAAATAATTTGTATGACCCTGTGAAAGCTACTGAGATGTGTTTAGTACCAAATATAGTTATTCCTAAGAAGTTTAGGGTGCCAGAGTTTGTCAAGTACACCGGGACTTAATGCTCGGTGACACATCTTAAAGCATATTGTAATTAGATAGTTGAAGTAGTACATGATGAGAAGTTGTTGATTCATTTCTTCTAGGACAGTCTAAGTGAAGTTGCTCTTACTTGGTACATGCATCTAGACAACACCAAGGAGACAGGATGGAAAGACCTAGTTGATGCTTTTGTTGGGCAATACAAGTTCAATATGGATATAGCTCTAGATAGATCCTGCTTCCACACCTTGGAAAAAGGTCGTAAGGAATCCGTGAGAGAGTACGCACAAAGGTGGCACGAAATGGAAGCACAGGTTAATCCACCACTATTGGAAAAGGAGATGATAAGCCTATTCTCTAATACTTTCAAAGCCCCATACTTTGAATATCTGGTCAGAAGTTTTGCACAAAACTTCTCTAATTTGGTTGCTATAATAGAAAGAATCGAGTAAACTATTCGAATGGGTATGATTACAAATCCTAGTGAAAAGAGGGGTTTTGTTGGATTTAGGAAGGAAGCTGAAATTCACAACGTGGGAGATGAGAGCAGAGGAAGAAAACTTACCAAGATAACTATAATTTCAAACCCTTTATGCCCAGTTCCTTTGTATTAAACCTAAATTTCGCATCATTATTTCCTAAAAGCCAAACAAACACCCAAAATAACCTAAACAACCAAGCCAACAACACCTTTCACCTGTGTAGGAATTTCCCTCCAAACTAAAAGCAACTTCCACCACTTTTCATGCCTCTTAGTGAGATGTATCAAAGATCGCTCAGCATTAGCCAAGTAGCACCTATTCTTTTGACACCCTTACAACCACCTTTCCTTTAGTGGTACCAACCAGACCAGAAATATAAATACCATGCTGGTGCCGCCGGCCATAATATTGATGGTTATGTGGCCTTCAAAAGAAGGAACTTCCAACTCATCAAAGTTGGGTGGATTTTCTTTGATGAATCTCCGAACATAAATACCAACCTATTACTAAACCACACTTTTAGAAGTGGAGGGGTGAATGCTTTGGAAGAAGAAAGAAGAAAAAAGGGGTATTGCAATCCTAAGGCTGACAATGGAGAGATTGTATAAAATATTGAAGCAGACTGAATACCTTAAAACACCCATTAAAAAGCAAACCATAGAACATAAGAGTGAATATTGTGAGTATCATCAGCATATGGGGCACCATATAAACTCTTGTGAGGAGTTTCAATTAGAAGTAGATGATATGATGACATTGGGAGTGTTGAGGATAGGGGTGCCCGAAAAAAACATGGTAGGAACTATTACTGGTGTCGATAAAAGAATTGAAGTCTTTAGATATCAACCAACGGATGGGGGACCCCCAAGGATGATTTTGGTCAGACCGGTGGGCACAACTAGTAGGAATTATAATCCCTTGCCTCATAATTATGGTTATTATTTTCATATCACAAGACCAGCTCCTGCTTTTGATACTGAAATTGGAGGGCTAACACGAAGTAGGAGATGCTTTACTCTTGAAAATCTAGAAGACCAAAGAAAGGTCAAAGAAAAAAAATGATGGAATTGGCCAAGATGGATGAAATCAACAACCCGGTAAGCGATGAAGAGGCTAACAAATTCTTGAAGCTAATGAAGCATAGCGAATATAGTGTGGTGGACAAATTGAAAAAGACCCCTGGTAGAATCTCCCTATTGTCATTAGTGTTGAGTTCAAAGTTGCACAGGAACACAATCTAGAAGGTCCTTAACGAAGCATATGTTCCTCAAGATATCATGCAGGATTTTATAAAACATATGGTGGGAAGGATTCAAGCTACTAACTATCTCTACTTCACGTATGATGAACTAGATCATGAAGGAACTCATCACAACAAGCCTTAGATGAGTGATGTATGAAGGCCTTAGATCTATGTCTAATATATATACATGATAAACATGAAAAACAATGCATGCTAAAATAAGTAAAAGAGCAAAAATAAATAAATAAAACTTGATAAACTCAACATAGTCACAACAAGGAGAAAAAACAGTACGAAAAATATAGTTTAGCAGTAAAAAAGAAGAAGCAAAGCTTAGTCCTAAGAATTTCCCAGCGGAGTCGCCATTCTGTCATACTTGGACATCGCGGTGACTGATTAAAAATATAATCTTGATTGAAAAAGGTATAGATATCTGACATCTTGTTCTTTTAGAAGAAAAGATCTTGTTCAAGGAGTCACCACCTAGTATTATGGTCACTAGGAACCTTAACTGGCCAACAGAGATTTTATGGTGTGGGACTGGTTATGCAAAAGGAAAGATGTTATCATTCCTTAAGCATCTTACCTAAGTTAGGCTACATTGCTGGTTTTGTCTAAAATTGCTAAGAATTTGTTCTTTTTATTCATTTTCTATTCTTTCTTCCATGTTCATGACTCTAGTGTCAGTGAACAATTCCTACGAATATTTCCAACTCTGGTGTTGGTAAATATCATACAAATTCAAAAAATACGATACTCTTAACTCTGGCGTCAGTGGATATTTTTGCAAAAAATAAATTTGAAAAAGAAATTTGGTATGTCATTTTTTTCTTATTTATCCTTTATTATTATTTGCCCTTTTTAGATGGAAGTAAAAAAAAAAACATTGCATTTCATATTTGTGTTTAACAGTAATAGTCCACAAATTAAGCACACCTATAAAAAAATACAAACACAAAGAAAAAAAATAAAACAAAGTGTAAGGGGGCCACAAATAAATCAATGAAAGCCCTAAATATTTTTGGAATTTTCTGTTATCAAAAAGGGGTTTGTTGGGTCAAATATCAAATTAAAATAGGCATACAAATTATAGTTAAGGCATGAGAGAGTGTTTTGTCAAGCACACCCTTAATAAACACAGTTTGGGTCGGCTAGGCCTAAAACCTAGAGCCGACCCACTCTTTTTTTTCTTTAGGGTTGGATCTAGCCCAGCCATGTATGAAAGGTTCAAATATGCATGCAACAATAAACATTTAATAATTTTAGTAAGGAAAGAAGGAAACTTACCTAGGTGTGCTGTTGCTGGAGGCAAAGTCGAGGGAGACTAGGTTAAAAAACAGGGGTTGAGGGGGGCGGCGGCTAGTATAAGATTTGCCCCCTTCTTTTTTTATGTTTCTCTCTTTTAGGGTTTCTAGTAATGGCCTCCTTTTAGTGTCATTTTTTTACGGTTTCTCTCTAATTGTCCTCTGTTTTTTTTTGCTGCATGCATTGAGATCATAGTGCAAGAATCCTTTCGCATGTGAGAAATAAAGTTTCAATTAACTCATTTATTTTTTTTTAAAGTTTGAATTTGATTAAAAATCAAATTTAAAAGCGGATAATTGTTATTATCTTGAAGACAAGGATTATCTTCAAGATAGGGATTATTGTGAAGATAGGGATTATCTTGAAGATAAAGGTAGAATAAAAAAAGGACATTGTAGTCCCTAGTTTTCATGCAAGTTGACCAATCACACTTTCATCGAAATGCATCTCTGATCTTTTAATTTTACATCTTAACCCTATAAAATTAAATTAAAAAGTCAGTAGACCAAAATTGGGTTGCAACAGTTAAGCCCCCTCAAGATATGATTTATATTATTCTCTAACATACTCTCTCAAATAAAAGCTCTTTGAGCTTGAAACTTGCATCGATCCACATTACCTTGTGCTTAATTTTTATCAAATAAATAGGGATGATGAGATTCGAACTTGTGACCACTTGGTCATCCAGGCTCTAATACTATGTCAAAAAACCATCTCAACCCAATAGTTTAAGCTGTTAGGTAAGGTCTTAAGATATAATTTATATTATTCTCTAATACACTCCCTCAAATGAAAGCCCTTTGGGTTTGTAACTTGTACAGACTCATATTACCTTGTGATTGTTTTTTATCAAATAAATAGAGATAGTGAGATTTGAACTCGTAACTACTTGGTCATTAAGGTTCTAATATCATGTCAAAGAATCAATTCAATCTAAAAGTTTATATTATTACCTAAAATTATTTTCTTTTCTCCTCCCTTCTTTTCTTTGATCTTTGTTGGGCCAGTCCCTTCTCATCGACCACAATAATTCTTTGCCCATAACCAATCAACGTTACACTTGGTTGGTTATATTATTTCATATTTTATTGGTTATAGTATTTAACATTCTATGTGATTTTTTTGGATTTGTGATTTTTTTGGATTCTTTTAGATTTATATCTTTTTTTGAATCGATCAAGTGCTTAAATTAATTGCATTCATAATATTATCTCTTTCATATACGAAAGTAATACAAGTTGAATACAACCATCAAATAGTTTGCACCACTAAAACACTAGGGAAGTGCCATTGTCATAAAGTCGAAAAATAATTGTTGAAAGATGTCCCAAACACCAAGTTGCCGGATATCCTATGGTGGGAGGGGCTAAACAAGACTACATGAATGATATTTCACTACTTTGGATGAGAAGCTGAGCCTCAAACTTCTCTTTTCTGTTTCGGAATATCTTAATTTTCTTGTTTTCGTCGAATATAGCCAAACAACTAGGAACCACATTTGAATTACATGGAATAGAAGGAAAGCACCTTCATTCTCAAGTGTCTATATTGTGTAAGTCGCTCTCTTAATTTCCTTCCAATCTCCTATTCCTGTGATTTGGGACCCAGAGGAAAACGCTGAGAATGTCAAATATTAACAGCAATGATATTCTGTCTTAGGCCTGCATCCAACGCTATATTATTGTCTTTAGCCAGAAAAAACGTAGCTACCGTCGGAATATCCTGATGACAGGAAAAATATAATTTAGAGGCCACGAACATTTTTTGGAATCCCATGTTGTCCGCGTCATATAATTGTAAGGATTGTGACCAGACAGACAGAAGCACAAAGAAAAGCTTTGTCCTCCTGCTGCGTTAATTAGCATGATTATACACCAGGGTGCCTCAATATTCCATGATCACTTGACTCATTACTGGATCACCTACTAATAAAAGCTTCGAGGATTCATAGGTTACTTCTACAAGCTGTTCAGTGCTTGTCGTTGGTTACTTCCACAACTACAGAAGCAAATCTTCCTTGGATCTTACCACATAAATTAAAGTTGAGACTTCAGATTTGTTTCCTTCCAACGAAGTTTCTAATGCTACTTTAGCTTTTAGGCTTGCTTTTCTAAAGTTGGGATTTCCATTTCATGTACAAGAAAATATGTTTTCAGAGAATAACCAAGAATCGTATGTGTGCTCATCACAACATCCATGGCAGAAGATGAGCGTAATGACCCTGCCTATGATGCATAACAGCATCAGCTTTTTTTTTACAAAAAAAAAAAATCATTACCGATTTTTTATTCATTAAATGTAAATATTTTATATGCATGTGATAACCTAAGAATCGTATGTGTGCTCATCACAACATCCATGGCAGAAGATGTGCGTAATGACCCTGCCTATGATGCATAACAGCATCAGCTTTTTTTTTACA